AGAAAAGCACAATTTCAGGTTTTCATGAGCTATTCATGTGTACGTCAACCAACTTACATGGGATTTGATACAAAGATACCTTCTTGCAGGTTTCAAGCAGTGATATATATATATATATATATATATAAACAGTTTTTGATTTTTCTGCGTTTTTCACAATTTTTCTCGTGTCAAATGCCTATGAATGTTGACCTCTTTAATTTTAAAATTACACTCACAAACAGTTCAGCTATTTAAGAAAAGAGTGAATACATTTCACTTGAGAGATATATTTTAACCCTAAATAAAATGGTGCACTGAAGCATAAGTTTTGCTTAAACACTACAACTAAACAGAGACATAAAGTGAATATGAACATTATTTACTAGGGGTGTCATGAAGCCATGATATAATTCACAAGTGATTCAATAAAGGAAGATGAGTATTGAGTACAACATGTTGTCTTCATTTCTTTTATCAAAAACATTACATGCAAAGTAGCATAAATTAACAATAACAAAATAGATAGAGAGATATTAACTTTTTTTTTATTTTACTTCTCTTGCCAGCTGCCATTTAGCTGATCAAACCAGAGAATTTGAAAAAAGCACTGTAAAGTGTGAAGTACTTAAATAAGACAGTGTTAGTGAAATAGATAATAAATTACACACAAGACTGTCAAACTTTGTAACAAACCGCTGGTAAAACTTCTGTATCTAGATAGGTATCGTATCGACTACTATGATGACATACACACTCCTATTGTTTACTACCACAAGCTATATCCACAACAAAATGTGCTACTCTTCAAAACTGTTGTAAAATTGTCACATTTGTGTATACTGTTCTAGTATACTCAATAGCTTAAGTTATAAAATTAATAAAGTATATAAAAGAGGAATGTTTAGACCAAAATTAAATTTTATTAGCTTTTATACAGCTTTAGATTTAACTGAATTTATGGCGTACTCACCTAAAGTTATGACTTAATCTTTCAGGTTCACACTGACAACAAAGGCTCCATATGACCTGAACTAATGGCAAATAACCAAAAATGTATAAAAGGTCTACGAATAAGATCGACTGTAAATTCTGAATAAAAACTGCATTTTGTGCATAAAATACACTGTTTTCTGGTACTTCTGACTTCAGCTGCATTTTTACAGTAAAATTTGTGTAATCAATCACCCAACTGTTATCTTTTTTAATAAAGACAAATTCACTAATTAATTTAAAATTTGCAGGAAAAAAAAAATTGCATTAAGAGACCACACTCAATATGTCCATTAACACATTAACAGGTGCTACCCCAGTAAAATACTGAACAATAAGTATTGTTATAATGTAGGAATCTCCTTTATTTCAAACACTTATCTCTAAAATAATAGTCTACTATCTTCTCACAAATATTTTCGAATTTCATAATTTAAAAATCAAAGGCATAAATGACATTTAGTGCCAGCTAACCAAAACATTCAATAACAAATATATCATAAACAACAAATTGAAACATATTACTAGGATAGACATCAAAAGTCTTGGATCAGGTATGATATAAAGCATAATCTATTCATTTACTACTATTCATTGTGCTTATAAAGTCTGATTATTTACTTATAATGTCATATATTACAGCTGGGTGATCAGTAGTATTTGCTAATTGGTTATTTGAAAGCCTCATTAATTGTTTTTACTTTCAATTATGTACAAGCAAAAAAAAAAGAAGTTGATGGCAGGTACTGCCAGACAGTTGCCTTTCCTCTATTCAGCAGTTCGATATTAGAGAAAGTGGCAAATAGTCTTAGTAGCTTTGCTGCAACAAAAACAGGGTAAGCGAGTTTGGTAACAATGAGAATTGAATCTGAGACCCTCAAATCATAAGCCCCGCTCCCCGAATCACTGAAGCTGAAGAAAGTTGAAGTAGGAAAAAAGTCATAAGAATAAAATTGGGTAGAGCACACACACAGCCCATCAGGTTGCTTTGTACTTAACAACAGACAAACATATCAGCAATATTTCGACTACTTGGATAGTTTGAATAATCAAAACTATTAACCATCAAATTACCTATTAAATGATACTTTTATTAATCTTAGAATGCTCAATACTTTAAATATGGCTGTATTTCAAAGGTTTAAATGTTTCTCAGTACTTTCTGAAATACTATATAACACTTTTTGATCTTTTACATATTTCTGCAAACAAAGCCACTATGTTTTTTTTTATGTGTTTGTTATTAAGCATAAAGCTACACAACACTGTGCCCACCACGGGTATTGAAACCCAGTTTTTAGCATTATAAGCCTTCACATTTGCCACTGGAGGGTGTGTTATTGTGAAATTACAAAAGCTTGAAGTTAAACCTCAAAGATGAATCAACTATATTAAAATACATAACCACATGATTATAACTAACACTAAATAAACTATTTCTATATGTTATTACTATGCTAAAAAATGTTGTAAAACAGAACTCTCCCCTTTTATTTCTATACTAGTTTTCATTTTTGTTCACCTGATAACAATAATTTACGCTCTTCAACACACTAATAAAAGGATATAATTTTTGGAGTTCTAATGTAGCCATCCTGAAAGATTGAAACAAACTTTTTGTCCAGTGAAAAATTGATTTCCTGAGTTCTGGACACTGACGTTCAGGCCTTGTTAGTGGTAGAACTTTAGATGTCTCTAATCTTGATGCAGGAATAGTTACAGAAGCCCTGAAGACATTTAAAAATTAAGTCATTACATTTAATAAGCAATCACTTTAAAAAATTCTTGGCTGTCATTTATATGAATAACACCAGAAGTTTTCAGGTTTAAACAAAAATGTCATTCTTTATCGAGTGAATATTTTATTAACTGCCTAGGTCTTACAAATATGTATTGATTCAGTTAAAAGTATGAATGTTTTTCATTTTGATTACAATGTTCAAGGTTTTCACCAGCTTGTCTGAAATACAAAACTACTGGAATAAATACAATATGAAATATATTATCTTGCAACAAGAAACAACATTGAGAAATACAACTTAATATAAAAACAAAAAAAAAAAAGCTAGAAAATCCTCTACTGTTCCTTATCAACAACATAGTTTCTAGGTTGGTGTGTAAGCAAAATACAATTCATGTCTACTTGTATAATGTCACTGCGAACCATTTTGTGACTTTATATACAAAACAACTTCAGAAGATGTAAACTTTCCTTATAAAAATAATGTTACTCTCTGTGCAATGCAATATGTTACTTAATTAATGCAGCCCTCCTGTGAATCTAAAGATGGAAAAATAAAACATGGGAAGGTTCAAACAACATCTCTTTATTGGAAAGATGCTTCAACAAACCAAGTAACAATGACTCAAATGCCACAAATCTCGGTTCTCACTTCATTGGTTTGTAAGGATTCAAACAATGTCTCTGTTTACTTGACCAGATGTTTCGACCAACAAAGGTACCATGTACTGCATCTCAAATTCTGCAAGTCTTAGTTCTCACTTCATTGGTTTGTAAGGATTCAAACAATGTCTCTGTTTACTTGACAGATGTTTCGACCAACAAAGGTACCATGTACTGGATCTCAAATTCTGCAAGTCTTAGTTCTCACTTCATTGGTTTGTAAGGATTCAAATAATGTCTTTGTTTACTTGACAGATGTTTCGACCAACAAAGATACCATGTACTGCATCTCAAATTCTGCAAGTCTTAGTTTTCACTTCATGCATATGGAAGGACTCTTAAGCTATGACAATTGACTTGTAAAATTCACAATCTTTCATGCCATTTTTTATTGAAAATGACAAATTAAGTATTCAAGAAATACTAAAGTGAGAACATTATCCTTCTATACACACATTACAATCCCCTCTTTTATATACCAGCCTACCCTATCTAGTAAATACTAGAGCATTCGTCAAAGTACAGGATAATTCTAGAAAGTAGAGAGCGTGAGAATCACATGATCTCGATGACGCAACAATAGTGTGTGTGTTATAAAGGTTGTTAAGTTTGAAGTGACTGTGGAAATTCTGTGTATTACAAAGTTGTAACGAGAAAGAATAAACTAGTTTTAATTAAGAAAGGACTTGTATCGCTGAAGTTCCTCGGAAAGAATTTATACCGGAAATTAACAAACAAGCAGATACGCAACAATATTTATACTTTTCACTTCTGTATACTATTAACAGTTATTTTGAAATACATATTTGTTCTCAGATGTCTCATGTAACTGTTATATCTAGTTCCCAATTTGTCAGAGAAAAAAGAAAAGAAAATAGTTAAAAAAATTGAGGGGAAAATGAGAATTATTATTATTACTTGTTTTTTGGTGAACAATGGCCGGCGGGTTGGAGTTGGAAGACGAAGAAATTGTGCTAGAGGTAATTTTTAGGATACGTAATAGTGTTATTTACCAAATGCCCTGTAATTGTGTTAGATGAATACGAAACAAAATAATTTTAATTAATTAAAAAATTCCAGTAAGAATTTATATCTAAGTTGTCAATGTCAGCCTGTAACCTGAGCCTTATGATACCGACTGAGTGAAGCTGAGACGATTTAAATTTTAAGCCTTTTCGTACTCTGTAGTATAACTGCTATACTACGATTCGAAGAACTTACGAGTGAATATATACTTTATCTGCTATATACACTTACAAGTTACAGTGTCCTCACATAATAAAATGAACAGTCTTGCCATAGAGTATATGTTGATCATATTATTATCAATCACCAATACAAGTTACAACACAAGTCACAAGCAAAGAATCGAGCAGAAACACTCAAAGTGAAACATCCATTACATTATCACTTGGTAGTGGTAATTTCACGTTTTCGGTTTTCCATGTATGAAAATTTAAAATGAAAGAGTTCATGTTCAGTAAGGTTATATATGTGTTGAAATATTGTGGGTATTTCAGACATTATCAATGGTTTTTGAGGTGCTTATATTCTTAAGCCAGGACACTATAAATTAAAAATATAATTATAATAATTAGTATTACCTATTTGTTTTTGCACTCTGAACTTGTCCTTTCAAGTTTCAGTTTCAAAGAGCTGACAGATTACATTTGTGATAATGCTAAGTAGTGGTACTAGTAGTTGTATAGTAAAATAGTTTGTTAAATTTATTACATATGAAATGTGCTAAGGTCTAATATTTTATTTTTTAATTTTTGTTTCTTATTATATGTATATATATATATATATTTTTTTTTTTCCATGTAGGCCTACTAGTATTAATGTTTGTAGTTTTGAACTCGAGAAATAAATTATAATCCTCAGTATAACTAATATAAATATGTATCATTTACAAGCCTTTATTTCTTTTCTATTGATCTGAGATGAAATTATCTGTAAACTTACAAGCACAAGTACATATTCTCAGTGATGGGAAAAGTTTAAGTTAAGCTATAAATTTAAATTACTTCATGGACTTTAAAAAAGTTTATTGTGTTGCACTCTTGGTTTCACTCAGAGCCAAAGCTCTTACCTACTTATACAGCCCACCAAAGAAAGTAATTGTTCATCATTTCAGTCAAGCTAAGAGCCACTCAATAATAACATACAGTAAATCTACATTTTTATTCTTTAAGTTACGTTACATTTTAAAATGTGAATGATAGTGTAATTAATTCTTAATAATTTAGTGTAGAATATCCTGCTTGTGAAATAAAATTTGGCATCAACATTATTCACGTCTATTCTCCCACCATTTCAAAAGTGAATGTTGAGCTTGGCTTTTGTGCACAGCTTTTCAAACAGGAGACAGACAAAATCTTGTACAGTCACCACAGTTTGCAATATATATATATATGATTTGCAGGCTTCAAAAGTTGTACTTTCAGATGCAAAATGAAAATCCCAAATCTTTTATTATTTATTCATTATTTTCCCTAACTTTTGTAATGCTTATGTAAATCAATTATATGTCAGCAACTGCCAGTTAAATAAGCAGTGACAGTTAGTTACTGACCTCCAAATACTATTTATCTGGCTGCAAATAAACCAAAAATGTGCTTGCACTTTGTGGAGAGCATTTACAACATTAAAGAGTCTATCTTTCTTACCCCCCACCCCATTGGTTCGGCAGTAAGTGTGTAGGCTTATAATGCAAAAAATTTGGTCTCGGTACCTGTGATGAGCACAGCACAGATAGTACAGTATGTAGCTTTATGCTTAATACCAAACAAATAAACCTTATGAGTAATTTAAAGGCACCACATTGCACTGTATGTTGCTTACACCTGCTTAAGTTTCCTGAAAAAAAAATATAGAGAGTTTTTTTCAGAATTCTCATTAAAACTTACATGCTTTTATTGTATTTATTGTATATGTAATACTTGGCCTAAGATTATTAACATATGTTATAACATTTATATTTTTTATTATTTTAATATACTAATTAAAGCCATTATTGTTTCATTTTTATACAGTGTTCAGTTTGTGTAAAATAAAATAATGTAGCCTAACATGTAATCTAATACTGAATTGAAAACATATCTCACTACTTTAAAGAACTGGGTTTGTTTTTTAAAGCCATCTGCAGCTTATTAGTTTTTAATACATATATAGCTAAGCATCCTGTTTAGTTATAAATCTTTCATTTGAGGTCAAGTGTCATTATAGTTTTTAGTTATAAAAGTGGGTTATAGGCCTTAATTTTGAGTTATGTGAAAATATAGATATGTTTAAGTTGTTTAAACATGTAGTAAATAGTATGTACAAAAGAAGTATTGTATAAATTGTTTTTAATTTAGTGTAGTATTTTTTTGGAGAATACCATATACATGTTGAACATTGAGTGTATAGTAATTATAACTTTACTGAGAATAAAAAAAGTCTATTGCACACTTGATTTGTAAGAATAGATTAGTTCTGATTGTAGGTTACAGTCCTGGGTGGTAAAAATTAATTAAACTAAATCTTATCTTCTAACTTTCATATATGTATGTAATTTAAATTGTACTACATCTTAATTTATGATTCTGTATAGAACTCACCATTGTATCAACACTTGAGAGAAACGGGATTTTTGGAAACAGACATTTTCCAACTTGAATCATCAAAAGAGAAATGTAGCGAGGTACCTTTAGTTGAAAATTACCTTCCATTTTATTGTTGCCACAAGAGCTGTTTTAAGGAGCTACTGGTAAGTTTGCTTAATAACTACAGAGAAAGAAAAGGCTTTAATACTGATTATAGACAGTACACTGAAAAGTTATGTGTATCACTATGAAAAACTTTTTTTTTCTCCTTTATAATAAAATTATCTTGTGAGCACAAGTTCTTTGGATAGTAACAGATAAATATTGAGCCTTAATACACCAGACTAGATTGTTGTGGCAGGTTCCATGTTATTATTTGTTTCATGCTTTTGGTTCGTGGAACATAACTCAGCACTATCGGTTTTTATTACAGATTGGGTAATTTAATTTTTTTAACACAATTGAATCAATTTTCAGTTTTTGTTAATAAACTTAACACAGTTGATATTTTCTCTTTTTGCTAAGCTACAGAGTTGTTTGATCTTAACGTTCGAATCGTTGACTTATTTCTATACTTTGTCTACTAATATGACGCAAGTTGTATATTAAATAATTTTATGATCTTGCATGTTAGAGCATTCGGTGTAAAGAATGTATTGAAAATAATTGGTGAAATCACTCGTTTTCTATGTAAAATACATACAGGATCCCATTAATAATTAGTGGTATTAACTGCAGTATTGATGGTATTTTGGTTTGTATTTCTTGTGTGATTTTACAATATGTTATTAGGCCCCTGTAACTAATATATTATGGACTTTCAACCAATTTGGTGCTTTAATAGTTAAAAAAATGTAGTTATTTTAGGGTTGAAATGTTCAGTAAGAAATACCAGAAGATCTTCAGTTTTTCCTCACTTAAATCTAGTGTGGGTTTGTGATTAGATAAACTGAAGTCTTACAGATAAATTTAGTAAAAACTTATTTTGAACATTATTGCAGAACTTTTAATTTACAAAATATTTTAATTTTTAAAAACCTTTACCATTGTGATTGTGTGGATGGTGTGAATTATTACTTATTTTAACTACACCTATATAGATTTCTATTAATTGTCATTTTTAGACTAAATTTATCATTTAACTAACAATTAATTGGGTAATTATGCATTTTGTTTAGCTCTATCCTCTGAACATTTTTTCTAACCTCTACCAACAAGTAAGAAGTTCTTATCTGGAAAGAGAGAGGAATTATGTAAGTATTGAAGTATACGTGTAGCTACAAATGTATATGCTGTTAGAAATTGTGTAAAATTTGTGGTTGAGACACAATGAGACATACCAAAAACAGTTAGCATTCAACATCCATAAAGTTTCATTCTTTATCTCAAAAATTTATGTGGCATAAATAAGAAGATTTAATAATTAGAAACCAGTTTTAAAGTCATGTTGAAAGTAAAATTTATTTAGAATAGCAGAACCACAAATTATATCACATGAACAGGATAACTGTTCTCTATGCAAAAGAGAATATCACATTTACTCAGGTTATTAATTCATAATGTCAATGTAGAAATTATTTTTCTTGAGTATTAGTATTTCGTATGTGAACATAAGAGTGGAAAGTGCACGGTAGCCAACTTTGACTCATTAATTTTCTCTACATGTAGCTATGGTAATTTTTTTGTGAAATAGAATTATTTTGAGTTCAAAAGTCAACAAGTATATATGTGACCAGAAATAGATTAATAGTTATGATATAACAAACCAAGCAACTACTATATAAGTTTATTAAAGTAAACGTAATACAAGTTTTATTAAATATCAATAATTGATAATTAAGTAGGCCTGGCCAGGGTTTTGTAAATGAATATCTCAATCTCCAATTTCAAACAAAAATACAAATATTACAAAAAACAATGTTGTTAATATCAGCTCACACTAAGTGATAATAATGATGTTTAACAACTTAAGAAAAAAGAAGCAGAAGAAAAATACCTAATTTATTAGATTACTCAAATTAACAATGTAAAACACTTTGTGAAATAATGTGAAATCACAAATATAGATTGAGTATCAGTAATAGTCTGTTTCTTTTTATAAATCAGATATCCCTTATATATCACAGATCTGTAGTTGCAACTCTTATTAACAGTCCTGTTTAACTTCACAGGTTCTTTACTTCCTTTCATTGTTAAGGTAACCCTTTTGTTGATGTCTTAATATAAAAATGATTTGTTTAATACTTCATACAAATTAGAAGTTAGGTGAGCTAACATTTGAACTTAATAAAAATATAGCTAGCTAAATATAAAAGGAAAAACGTATAAATGAATAACAACACCACAACACTATCTCATACTAGAACTTGTGATTAAAATCAAATTAGATTGCATATGTTTTTACCACATTTCTCATCATTAACCCATTATGGCATTACAAATTTCATATCAGAGGTGCCCCCCAGTGGCACAGTGGTATGTCTGCGGACTTGTGCTGCTAAAAACCGGGTTTTGATACCCGTGGTGGGCAGAGCACAGATAGCTCTTTGTGTAGCTATGTGCTTAATAACAAACAACAATCATATCAGAGGTATGTAAAACAGTAATATTAGAAGTAGAATTGTTACAGTGATAAGTTAGCAATTGGGAAAATGCTCATACAGATGGAAGATTGTATTGAAGATGTATGTACACTTAATTTGGATATGGTAATTGATAATCTGTTTTATGTAAGGTATAGTATTATCTTTCACAGTTCATGTAGAAAGAAACTAGGCAAAAAAATGCATCAGCATGCATGAGGAGCAGAGCATATTTTTTCAGCTTGCCAAAAAAAAAAATCTTTAACAAATTGTTGTAACTGTTATTATCAAAATTAAAGTTTGAAAGCTAAAGTATTATTCTTAACTTTGTTTAATACAAACTTGAGTTTATTATTAGACATTTCTATTAGTGTAAATAAAATAACAACCTATCTCTCCAACATGTATCTTTATAAGCTCAATAGTTTGCTAATAAAGATACATTCTGGAGATACAGGTCATTATTTAAGTTAATAGAAATTATCTAAATTATGCTGATAAAGTTGGTCAAATAAAGGAAATTAGCTTTCATTTTTTGCTTATTTCACAACAATTTTTATTTTTTAGTTGCCAAACCACAAACAAATTACAAAAAATAAAATAGTATAAGTATTTATTCACAGACTAGCATAGTTGGAATTTACTGTAAGCTTATCTTTAATTTTGTCTTTCACACTTCAACTTGATTTTATGTTATTACATATGATAAGGTTGAAGTGATCTGATATCAGTCATTCTAACAAGGAGACACAAGATCAAATCCAAGCCCTTACCACAGCTTACTGTCATTTTCAGGACATCTGTGAAGATGACAACAGATTAGAATCAAAATGTAGGATGGAAACTAAGTATTAATTAGTATCTAGTAATTATAATAAAAAATGTAGTTAATTGATAATTGTGCTTAAAAGATTGTATAGGTTATCAATCATATCAATGACCCAGTGACTTCTGATTGCTTAGTTTAAACATTAGAACTTAGAGTATCACCAGGACTTTTGTAAATGGGTTTGTTTCTGTTCATGGTGTATCTTTTTTTAGATATTTTTATAGATGTGTACATGTGATTAATGTAATTGTGTGTCTTAGTAAGAGTGAAAATTGTTGCATTTCTACAGTGTGTGTTCAGTAGGGATGAAACTCTCAACAACAAAAAAGTTCCAGTACTCATATATAAATACAGCAAAGGATTTTTTTTCATATTTGTAATTTATAATATAGTTTATTAAAAATAAAGGAAATGTATACAACCATTGTTTTGATGGTTGTAAAGAAAGAAACATAATTAAATAGGCAAATAATCTGAAAATTCATAATTGTCAGATATCATCTTTTATTTTGTCTCCTATTCCGTTGAATGACAAAAAGACATTGTACATGCTAATATCAGGCAGGTACAGAACATGGCACGTCATTTGGATGCATTTATCATTATTGACCAATCACACAAGTCACACAATTGGGTGAGACTCCTCAATTGGTTTAATAATGATTGAAGTTGCTAAAACTTCTCCTTATAATCTTTTTTTTGCCAATAAGAACTGTTGTTTGCTCACTTAGCAGTTCATTTGAAGAAGACTTAATTATTGTTTAGATTCTGTGAGTTGTTATGTGTCTGCTTTTTGACAGTATGATGGAAGGTTTGTGGGTTGGATGAAAAGTAGATCAAGTAAGTCCTGATACTGAGTACTAGTGAGTACTGACAGAATTTCACCCAATATTTTCAGATATTATGGATGAATATGGACTTGTTATTGAAAATAGAGAAAATTGATTTAGTTTTGGTTATTAATTTTTAACTAGACCAATAATTGGTTTGTATAAGATAACAGAATCTGTTTATGATGATATACTTATCTCAGAATCTGTAGACTTAACAATAAATTTAATGTAGGCTAACCTAATTTGGAAAGTTATGTTTTTCTGATGATTTTAACTTGGTGTAAAATATTTCTTTATCACAGTTAAGAAATTTTAATGTGGCAAAATAACATTATTTAAGCATGAAATTTTCATCATGTTTATTACATTTAATAGTAAAATTTAATACTTTTATCACTAAGATGTATTACCACTATTAAGTAGGTAAACTATTATTTTAACATTTTTAAATGCCTTTTAGAATTTAAGCACTTCCAGCATCTGAAAGAAGTTGTATTATCTTGAAGTTTTTACACTTGTGAGTAAAAATATTTAAGTTTTATGGGGACTTAGAAGAAGCCTAATATGTGTATGTAATCAGAGACAATTAATGAGTTGTTTGAATCTGCTATGATACCACATATCTTCACATATTATTAGTACATTTTCTTTAAATATAGTGTGTGTTAATTGTATTCATCAGTTTAATCTTTTCTGTGGTGAAGAATTAATCATTAGATTTGTTGATCTTTTTCACTAGTTTTGGATGTTTAAACAATACTCTTATTTAATTCATTTCCAAATTCTTGTTTTTTTCTCTCTTTAGCAAAAAGAAGTTGAAAAAAAACTACTTTCATGTATGTTAAGCAACGATGTTTTAATAGAAGATTATAAAGCCTTTTTAAAGAATTTTAGTCAAGATGATGAATTAACTTCTGGCTCAGATGGTGTGTCTAGTATCTCAACATTTAGATTTTACTGGTAAGTAACTTGATATCCAAAATTGCTGCTTATTGCTATATTATATATTCTGTTAAATCTAATTAATATTGGAAGACTCCAACTGTTCCTTATTGTGTTTAACAATTACAAGTTTTGTCCATGTTTAAAATGGGAAAAATCCTGTTTTATTGTTGAAGTATAAACCATGAAATTACAGATAACTTTGGATATAAAGTATTACTAGGGTAAATTTCATTTTCATAAATGATATATAAAGAAATGAAAAAATATTTATTGGACTTTTATTCTTGTTTGTACAGGTTTCTGGCACTGTTTATCATTTTCCTTTCATATATTTGGAAAAGGTTGCACCCAACAGTTGGGGAAAAGGAACATCTATTTAGATGTGGTTTGGAGCTGTTTCTAGTTATAATCTTTCTTGTAACCATGACAGTTATATTAAAGGAGATTTTTAATAAATATTGGTCTCAGAAAGCTTTAGAAGATGGGAAAAGAAGAATTAACCAACTCATCAGTAGCACAACTCAGACAAATGAACTGCTTAAGAAATGTATTCTTATAGTACAAGAAGCTGAACTCATAGCAAGAGGATTTACTTTGTAAGTAAATATCATTTCAAATTTTGTTGTAAAACAAAAATGTAAAAAAAGCAGAAAATTAGTGAGTAGCTTGTTTTTAAACAAATATCATTTTAAATTTTGTTCTAAAATAGAAATGTAAAATAAACAATATTAGAGAGTAGCTTGTTTAACTTGATAATGCTGTATGATCATTTGCCTTGTTTCTTGTTTCAAAGTGATATATTTCATATTGTAGTTACTCCAGTAGTTTTGTATTTCTTCTAAATTTTAGAAGAACAAGCAACATATTTTTAAATACAGTAGTTTCTTCACTTGTACATTCAATATCCTATATTTGTATTATTTAATAATCTTATCTTGATAGCACAGTTGTAGTAGTTTGTCAAGCTTCAAATAATCAGTATTGTTGATTAAAGACTTTGAAAAGTATACCCATATTACCCCCTTCCCCCATCATTTTTTGTTATCAACTCTTCCTGTAGTATTCAACAGATTTTTTGTTAAACTTTGTAAGAATTTTGTGGGTATCCACACGTAAATACTATTTTGGAACAATTTCCCTTCTCATTCTAAGAGAAGTTTCTCTCCATATTTTTTTTCTTCTGTCCCTTTAAGAATATTTAAGTACATATAAATAAGTGATTACATCTGTGTTCTTTTTTGCTTGCCAATTTTCATTCTTTTTTAAACAACTAAGCTATTATGTATCGACTAGCATCAGTGTCAATTCTCACTTTATTTGTTTATAAGGATGGAGCTTATAGAACTCTTAAGCTTTACCAATTTACTTGTAAAATAAGTATGATAAAGCAGTGTTGCAGCAAACAGAGTCATGGGTTTTATTCTCTCTGATGTCAGTTTTCTCTTACAGTTAATTTCTAATAACACTTGAGCACGTTCGTTGTTATAGCGTTTGTTTAGCGCGATTGTTGAAGTTGAGTGTATCGGTAAAGTTATATTCGGAAAGAATAAACCAGTTTTTATTAAGAAAGAACTTGTGTTGCTTAAGTTTCGTCGGAACGAAGTTACGGAAAGTTAATTAACAAACGGAGACGTAACAATATGTTGCAATACGAAGTCAGTACAGATATAATTTGATTACAAAGTGACAAAAAGGTGTAACTTGTTGATCAATATATGTTTAGGAGATATTTCACTTTGATTAAAATGGCAGTGAATAATTTTTGAGAACAGTCTTGTTTAATCGACTGAGTAATGATCGCTTCTAAATATAAGAATACTTCAATTACAGGCATCGTTCTGTTATCGGTTTATATATAGCATTTTATACTTAAATACTTCGCTAGTTGTTTGAATTCAAGTAGGAAGCCAAGGTATTTTCCAGGTCTAAGCAGTAAAAAATCTGATAAAGTCAGACTGAATGCGTTATGATTTCAAAATATATTTTGAATATTTAATATTTTTATCTTAAGCTATCAAGGGTTATTAATATTTCTAATATCAGAAAACCATATCACTGGAGTGTAGAAAGGAATAGAAAAAGCATGGCTAAAAGAAAAAAAATTGGGGAAGTGGTTATAAATGAAGATGCAGTCATTGTATCTTTTTATTTAATTTTTTGCACTACTAGTCTACATTAAAAACATTAAATCTTTCAACAGAACGGCTACAAACTTGGGAAACGTAGAAATATCAGGGAAACTGTAGATAAGCAAAACATATAAGGCAGTTCTTAGGAAAAAACAAAGTTGAATGTCAGTATAACAGGCCATGATTCAATGTCAGTACTGAATGCTCTAACTGTAACTTTTCAACAACTAGAAATGACGTTTTTTTTGTTTTTTTTGTTTTTTGGCCATATTATTTGAACTGGATAATATTGTAATTAGACTTCGGAAACAGCAAGAAAGTGCGTTCTCTAAAATTCTGGACATGTTAAATACGTTTTTCATTTATAATGTGTTCAAAATATTTTGCAATAGTTAATGCTATATTTTAAGTGTTTGTTTGTTATGGATTTCGCGCAAAGCTACACGAGGGCTATCTGCACTTGCCGTCCCTAATTTAGCAGTGTAAGACTAGAGGGAAGGCAGCTACTCATCACCACCCACCGCCAACTCTTGGGCTACTCTTTTACCAACGAATAGTGGGATTGACCGTCACTTTATAACGCCGCCACGGTTGAAAGGACGAGCATGTTTGGTGGGTCGGAGATTCGAACCCGCGACTCTCAGATTGCGAGTCGAGTGCCCTAACTATCTGGCCATGCCGGGCCTATTTTAAATGTTACGCAATCGTTTCTTTTTTATTAGTTCAAGGCTTGAAAAATGTATTGCTTGGTTTTGAGCATTTGTTTTTGTTAGCGGTATCTTATGCTAGTATCTAATAAACCTGTGTCTTAGACTGATACTTTCATTATTCCAACCAATTGTCAAGTGGGAATGCGGGTATAAATCTTTCTCGGTTAGATAGTAGTAAATTTGTTTTCTGTCTGAAAAATAAATATCTAATAAAACACACACATGAAAGAATTAAGGCTTTTATATATATTAATAGGGTACATTATGTTAAAGTTATATAAGTGTTGAAAATTCTAAAGTAACTAATCGTAGTCGGTTCGTAGGTGAAAGGCGTGACCTTAACTTATTTAAAGGAAAACCGCAACAACAAACACGACTTGTGTAGTTCATTGTTTACATTTAACCCAGATCGAACCTAAACGTTTAAGGCATGTTGATTTAGTAATGTTCCTTGGTGCTAGTTGACCTGCTTTGGAAATTTTGTAGAAATACTTTCAACGTATGGAGTGTCAGTCGGAACTTGTTTTTGAATTATAAATTGGAAATGACCACTGACTATTGCGCCACTTACTTTCTCTCTCTCATCAGGAAGGCCGAGCTTGGCGCAGTGGCTAGTGTGCTCCAAGAGTGAATTCGGGGTTCCTGACTCGTAGCCGGTTGCAACAAAAACGGGCGCAGTAGAATGACGATTAAATCCCAGTATTCGGTCAGACAAGGGTTAGCATTGTACGCTGTTGACTAGCTACCTTCCCTTTTGTCTATCAATTCAAAATTAGGGATAGCTATGCGCAGGTAGCCATTTGTGTAGCTTTGCGCGCCAGTAAGCCTTAGCAGGTATATAAAATTTCGTAATAGAAGCTGTTTCTAACTAGGAGACCCTGTATATGGGGCGTTTGTTACAATATGTTTTGTCGAATGTTGTCGTCTTGATTCTTCTTGTCAACGTCGTTCTCTCTTCCTCCCAAACCTTTAGACATTTCTCAAGTCATCATAAACGTCTAATTATTAGTTATGACCCATTTCCTTAACTCTATTATTTCCATGAACTGAGCCAGTGAACCACCAGTAATTTGGTCACGGAAGGAATTGTTGTCGTTACTTAGTGCCTTGACACATTTAATAGCACGTGTTATTGCAGGGGACACTTTTTTATTTTTTTTTTTATAGAGTAGATATAAGCAAGCATACACAGTAATACATTGGTGGTATGCTATTTATCAGGAAAGTATTTACATTACATTAAACAATGTATTATGCTACATGTTTAGAAATAAACCAATTAACACTTGACCAAGTTGAGTTGTTCTTAGGAATTAGACTATTGTAAAAATAGAATTATTCTTTGTGTCTGTCTATCTGTATCCTGGTGTAGTTTGTGCTACAATGAAAAATCTATATTTGTTACAACTTCCAGTGTTAAATATGTAACTGAATATTTTTTAGTAGTTGATAGTGTTTTTTAAAGTTTCAGATATTTCTTCTTTATTTTGATGTTGATGATTATTGTATCTTCCTTTTTGTTTAAGTAGTTATTATTATTATAATAATGATGCCATTTAATTACAAGCTTCTTATTGGCTCAGCAGTAAGGCTGAAAACTTAGAACACTAAAAACCAGGTCTTGATACCTGTGATGGGTGCAGCAGAGCTAGCCCATTGTGTAGCTTTGCTCTTAACAACAAACAAATAAACTAAACATTTAATTGCAAACAAGTTCTCCATCTAATAATGGCTGGAGACAGCTTGAATGGGTAATGAAGAAAA